TTGAAATTTGACCGATTGCAATTGGAAAAACTGTCAGCAAGAAAAGAAAAAAATGCATGCGCAAAAAGGGCGCTGAAGCATCACTTCAACAACTTGTTTGTGAAGGTTAAACCAACAATAAAAAAATTCAGCAAAAACAACAACAATAAAGAGCGCAAAAGCTCATCTAAGATAATGCAATCCCATTTTACAAGTTGTAAAGAACATGACACCACGTTAAAGCTTGAAAAATTTCACATGTTGAGATGAAAACAACTCAATAGTAAGCACAAAATAAACAAAACTGCATACAAAAATTGTATATATAAAAAAAAACAGCAAAGGAGAAGCATTTAAATGTAGAAAAGTGAGCGACTCCAAATGGCATGCACGTGTGTAAACAAACTACGTGAAATATCCTTACAGCTAACAAAGCAACATAGTAGATACATACATTTTGTAAATATTTAAGTACTCAGCGGTGCTGATCATACCGCCATAACGTGCCAATTGAAATTCTTGTACAAACTAATTTGCAAAACCAAGCGCTTCCGCCCGCTTCAGTGAATCGCATAGTTGCTTAAAGTGGCCAAAAACTAATAGCAGTTGCCAGAGATCAACAAAAATCGAGCATATAATAAAAGCCAATTGAACCAAAAAAAAAACAACAAATCACCAATTAGCAGCTTTTTAAGTTTTCATTAACCATAAAAGATATCCTCCAGAGCTGCTTTCTTCCTACAGTCGGCACCTATTTACTACATTCGTCCTTTCAACATGTCCGAGTTTCGTTTCTTCTCATTCACCGATTTCCAGTACCGCGCCAATGACTCAACGCTCTTCACGTTGCCCATCACGCTTTCGACAAAGAGCACACCGGCCGACAATGAGATGTCCGATGACTTGAATGTGCCGTACATGGTTTTCGAGATATTAGTTGCCATTTTTGCCGTTGTCGGTAATTTTATGGTAATTGTGGTTTTCCAACGCGAACGCAAACTTCGCCGTCGTACAAATTATTATATAGTTTCTTTGGCGATGGCAGACTTTCTGGTCGGCTCGCTGGGTGTGCCATTTGCGGTGCTGGCATCGGTGGGTTTGCCAAGAGATTTGTATACCTGCCTCTTCACCGTTTCGCTGTTGGTGGTGTTGTGCACAATTTCCATTTTCTGCTTGGTGGCCGTATCGGTGGATCGTTATTGGGCCATACTATATCCGATGGCATATTCGCGGAATGTGCGCACGCGTACGGCAATTGGTGAGTACGAGTAACTTTTGAAATTTTGACTTTTTCTTGTTGGTAGATACTCTATTTGAAAAAAAGGAGGAGGTTATCAATTCGTCGGTATGTTTTATTTGTTTTTTGTTTATGTATGTTATCGCATAAATTTAGACCACTTTAACCGATTTCTACAAGTTTTTTTAAGGAAAGGTGGTACCTCAGAGATTGTCGCATACTAATTTGGTTTAGATTCGATTATTGGATCATGAAGAAGTTAACGATACTCATAAGTTTTTATATGAGAATTGAAGTTTGTTTTGTTTTTGTTTTTTTTTTTTAATTTTCATTTGTGTTTGTTAATTTCAGCACAAATGTCAGTGTCATTTCACACGCTCCTATTTTGGGTTACCGAATTTATGTTCAATGATGTGGTAAGCTAAATTAATTTTTTAATACAAAAAAATTTAAATTTCTGATCCAGTGTTCTTCACCTAATCCTACCACCGGAGTTGGCTGTCAGCTCTGCAAACGATAAGCCATGTAAATTTTCAAGGTCATTTTGTCCATACTTTATAGTTGATATGTTTACAAGAATTTCGTTAGGGGTCTTCACACCGAGCTTGGTACTCGGTAACTCGGTGTTCGGTGATTTTTTCTAATATATTTTGTTTGTGTAAAATAGTATTACACAAACAAGATACATGGAAAAAAATTACCGAACATGATTTACAGAGTAACAAGCTTCGGTGTGTCAATTTAAGTCTAAAGCTATTACCAGAGTGCTTGGTTGAGGCAATGGGAATAGTAAATAGGAACTATTAGCAACGTTAAAATATGGCATGAGGGAGCTTCAATTACCTCGTTTTCATTTAACGTCCTTTTTCTTACTTCTGCGAAGTACAAGTCGATATTGAGTAACTTTTTACTATTCGAATTTCTAAAAACTTTAAAGTAATATTTAATGAAATATCTCTACAAAATCAGGGCTAACTTTCCATATTTAAAAAGCCGACATTGGGCATTAATGTAAATATGTATTTGATCAGAAAATGGATACTTACTCATCAATCGGCCCTTCAATTGCACATCTGAAATTGGACCAAAGTTTTTACTCATTTCAAAAATACTTGTCCGTAATTTATGAATTTCTGCAGCTCTACATGCTATAAAAATCAATTTTTTATAGTTTGCAATGTACATAAATAAGACAAGTTTTTATTGCGCTTATTCTTCACGCAAAAAGTCGACTATGTATTTACAAACACTGTTAATTGCTTTATGTCTGGCATGCCTTCATTTACTTGGAAGTGTACGCGTAAGAGGGCTGCACAAGTGGACTTAAAATTGATTTTAAGTCATTGGGTAATTTAACATAGCACTGTGTATGAAGTTTCTCATTAAGTGCCAATTACAATAAGCTCAAAAAGTTGTAGCTACATATATACAATCTCTTGCACATGTGCTTTTCAAATTTTTTTCTGGGTTATTTTTCTATTTATTTTTCATCATTATTACCACGTTTTTATCATTTCGGCATCTTGTTTGTCCAGACATAGAATTCAGAAAAGAATACAGAATACATTCATATAATAAGCAAACCTAACCTAGACATTTACCTCGCCAGAAGCAGTTAAATATTTAATAACCGCATTATTATTACTGCGCCTGAAAATATGCGCTACATGCCATTTTTTAAATGAAATTAATTGCTACTCATATGTAAGTATATGTATATATGTTGAAACAGAAAATAAATAAAAAGTTAATTTGATAAAATAAAATACATATCAGAATATCGTTGAATTGTTTTAAGATCTATTGCAAAATACAGACAGACCTTTGGGAAAGGCGTAAGCTTTTAAAATATGGATGAAGTCCAAAGGCTTGCGTCCACACTTATAACTGGTGCGTTAAGAACAACACCATCTAAGGCACTGCATGCCCTACTGAATTTTCTTCCGGTAGACCTATATGTACGGTGACCATAAATATATTTTGAAAATGCAGGACAATTTTTCAAAAAATTTACCTACATATAATTGCGTAGTATAAAAATAAAAAAAATATACTACATATATACATTCCTCGTCATTTGAATAGCGCGCCATTTTTTTGATTTTCTACTATATAAAGTATGCTTGACAAAATTTTTAAATGGAAGAAAATGCGCAGCACCGTGAACAAAAAAAATTGTCGCCCCTATGTTTATTTTTTTTTTTATTTTCAAAAATTTTTTAAATGGGATATAGACGTAGAATATGCTATATTTTTATAAAAAGTTAATGAATATTAAGCAAACAAAAGGAAAACTGTACCTACTAAGTATTAAAAGGATGCGCTATTCAAATAACGAAGAGTGTATATTTCTTAATTATTAATCCAATTTTAAACTTTAAACATAAATCACATATGCTTCATTGGTATGAATCCTTTAGTAACTAATATTTACAAAATTATAATAAGGCATATTACATATTACTTTACACGAAATATGAACCTCTGTAAAGCAATTTTTTTAGGCAAACTTTGGGTCGTTGAAAACGAAAAAAATACCCATGGTTTCAAAGAAGTGTTTTCGAGATTTGTTCGAAAAACGTATTTTTAGTACTTTTTCAGTTATTCCTCAATATCTCATTAAACGAACAACAGTTAGAAAGGTATTGATGGGCTCTATGCAAAAATATATATTTTTTGTGCAGATTGTGTTCCGTAACATCAACATTTCTCATCAGATTTTCATTTACTGTAAAAAGAAAAGGATTGAAATTTTAATTTTTCGATTTTGGTCGCTTGTAACACTAATAATTTTCATCGAAATCGGCAAAGTAATATATTTTTGTAAGAAGACTGTAGGTCGCTTATGTTGATTGGATAATTTTTTCATGAGATATTGACGACTAGGTTCGAAATGTACCAAAAATACGAAAACGGTTGTTTGAAAGGAAAATAGGCTTAGAGAATATTTTTTTCTTAAGTGATTACCACAAAATTTGTAGAACAGTGTTATCGATATATTTGATGCTGGTCTTCAATTTCTCGTCATCCATTGTCCATAACCGTATAATATTTAGAACGCATTGACTAGTTGAACCTTCAAAACCAGCTTACCCTTATGTAGTTATCAATTAGTTATCGACACTGCTTTTATTTCGAGTAGGAAAAGTTGAAAATTTTTTTTTAAAGGATCGAAGAAAATGCGGGACAAAGGCAGGACACTTGGAAAAAATGAGTACATTTTGGGGGTTTTCTGTTTTGAAAAACTACGCAGGACAGACCTTTAAATAACAGTACGGTCCTGCAAAAAACAGAACGGATGGTCACCGTACCTATATGCCAAACATGCCGCAAGCGGTGCGGAAATTCGAATGAACATTCTAAATAAATGGTCAAATACCAGATACGGTTAAGGTAGGATACTAATTAAGTTTTCTCTATAGCGTTTACGACTCTCCTATCCTCAAGGGAAGAGTGGCAACAATACGCTATAAGGAGTGGAGAGTTGGTGGAGGAGTATACTCCCATCACCTGGGAAATTCTCTTAGCTTTCGTCCCCCGGACCATTGCAGGCGACAATATCCATGGTTGCCATGAAATGTGCATCTCTTAACGAGATGGCTGAGTCATTTGGCCCAAAAGTGATATGGATTCAGGACACTGCGACTTAGAGAGGAATGATACGGCCAATCAACTGTCGCAACTTGGCACAAAACTTCCTACTGAGGACATAAACGACAAAATAAGAGTACCCTTACAAACTTGCAAGCTACTTATCTCCGAGAGGCTTACAGGAGGACTTTAGATGCATGGAAACCAGGGATCTTTTAAAATTCCTGCGAAATTCAAAATGGTTTTAGGAGAGATTGAGAGTTGCTAACCCCACATGCGGCATCATAATGGGCCCTGAGCCTAAGTGTATCTTATAGACGACCGCGACAACCTACGCTAACATATAGTGATAGAATCGTTTATTCGATAGTACCCGCCTACGCAGAATGCACGTTGTGCTCCGCTAATGACGCCATGTCACTGAATTCCCACTGGCCGTGGCTGCTCAACACAGCTGCTTTTCTATGATAGCTAAAATAATACATTTTTATCCTTATCATATATTGCGTGAATAAAGTTTATAACAATGAATGACGACGGCATGGAAGGCAGGGAAGATAGCTGTAAGAATATTTATGACGTAGAGGTCCATGGCCGCAATAATAATAGCACGGCACATGATAACTTATGGAGCTATCAATAGCCTCATCAAGAGCCTCATCAAAGTAAACAATTTATGTAAACGATTTTATTTTTCTACAAAAAAAAATACATAAAATACGTAGTAAAATTTAATTCCATTAAATGTTGTTTTTTTTACCAAATATTTGCCCTTCGAAATATTTGCAATTCAACCGAATTAAGAAAATAAAAATAACTATTTAATCACTAAAAAAGTGTTTACCAAGTGGCCATTGAGCTATAAGGATTCACTCACCTTTGGAAAATATCACAACATCCATTTAGCTAATTAACAGCGAACTTCATCCAACAATTATTTACTTACTTACTACGTTTAGTGTGTGCACCAGCTGTTGTTGCTCCTAAGTGCCATGCGAACCCCAAACTATTACCATTCCCACACGAATACACGGTATAAACTACATTTGTTTACTTTAATTAAGTAAATACTCGTAGTTTCTTTTTTACGCGTGTATGCGTAAGTCCGCGCGCGAAAATATTCATTTGTCACGCTGTTTTTGTTACGAGTCACTTGCTTCGAAACAAAGCAAACTTAAACGCGTTCCTTCCTCTCTGAGGATACATAGTTACATACATAGTGTTTAGCAAAAGCTGAACCCTGCAATACACGCATAGCACTTGCCACGTCAAATAGACATGACGCATTTAATTTGTCTTTAGCAAATTGCAAACTCTTCGTTTCGGTTCATGACAAAAACAAATAGTCAAATAACTAGTGGGTGACAAGTGACAGAAATGAGAATTAACAGAATTTAAAGGACAGCATATGAACACAGGAATCATGCAGAAGTTATTGGGAAAATATTGGTAGCAAGGAGTTTTTAAAGTCGAAAATTGAACTCTTCCGGTTTAGAGAATATACGGAATTTCAGATGCATTTTGTGACTGGACTAGGACTGAAGATTTTCCCGCACACATAGATTCTATTCAGTTCTACACTGACGGTCTAAAATTAAAATAAAAGTCGGAGCAACTTGGAGTACAAAAGTAGTTCCACCTACCGGACCACTGTAGCATCTTCCAAGCTAAACCTGCGGCTATTCATGAGGCTGCCGAATGTTATACTTAGACAGTCTTCTTTTCCGAGTTTAGCAAAGCATGCCAGTCGTTTCTCTTTTGTGCCAACTGACGTCAATTGGAAATTCCAAGTCCCTCTCGAATTGGCCTTTTCATCATAGTGGGGGCCTCCTTCTTCCTCTTTTCCCACCAACGGGTACCATTTTGAATACCTTTAGAGCCGGAGCGTCATTCAAACGACATGGGCAAGCCAATGGAGTCGCTGGCCAAAATGGGACTTGGAAAAAGTACAGAGCTCTTTATACTGTGCGGAGGATAGATCTTCTGGGCTATGCAGGATCTGCAGAAACTAGGAGGAACCTGAATCAGCAGGGTACTTACTATACGATTGTCCCGCACTGGGAAGGAGTAGACTGTGGCTGAAACCCATGGAGACCTGAGCGATTTTTCGGACGTAAAAGTAAGGCGATTGCTCAAATTTGTCAACTACACATACCTCAACCTAACCTAAACTACTGACTGGTGCAGCCGCCATATCGAAAGATGTACCACAAAACAGGATCACTCTGCAACTTACTATTTAGGCTTTTTAAGATGGGATGCTAGTCCACCGCTGTAAAATAATGGCACTATCATTTATACCGATAAATCAAGTGCGGAAAAATGAATTAGCGAGAGTCTATGTTCAGAAGACCTGGAGATCGCCTGGCTGGCTATTTATCTTACTCAGAGTAGTAAGTCGCTAAATAGAAAAGTCACCATGTACATATATTCGTTGACAGCTAAGCGAAAATGAAAGCGTTAGAATGTGAAGTAGTGAAGTTTTTTTGAAATACCGTGCATCGCTATCAGTGAGTCACGCTAATGCCTGAACTTGTTGGATTCCAGGACATACATTGGTATATCTAAGGGAACAACAGCCTAAGAGATAGTTAGATACGATATGGAAATGCAGTTCAGTAAGGGAGATAGCAACTTAAAACTAATTATTTACCGTAACAAATGTACTATCCGTCTCGGGCGGCAGTTCCACAGCAGCTTTGGGGTTACCTCATGTGCTTTCGGAGCTGTCAGAGTCTATGTAAGTAGTTTTGTTTTCTCGCCCCATTTCCCATAGACTATCTCAGACGTAGTTCATTAACATGCACCTCAGCCTCAGAAACATAATTAGCTTCCTTCTGGGTTCCGAGACCAGTTTCATAAATCAGTTTCCCAAAATTTGGCTATCATTCCAAAGACTAGGTGCGACATTGTCCCAGTTGGTTCTACTAGTGGAAAAGGCCTTGAATTTATATGTGAACTTAAACCACGAAAGGCACAGGTTCACAAGGCTAATATGTAGTCCTTCATCTTGTTCTATAAGAACTTTGTATCTTTCACATTGTTCAATTTCTTGATTACAGCAAAGGAAGCTCTAAACTCGCCTCGAGAGCCGCGGTGGTTGTTCCTCTTATCACAACAATGAAGGCTAGACGTTGACGAGTTGTGATCTTAGCCTGCGTGGGCTTCCTTTCGATCATCTTCCACCAGGTGGGCTCAGAAAACGGCAGTATGGGTTTTGAAATGGTATCGCCTGTTTATCTTGCCTATTTGGATCTGGTAGGTACTAAACGAGGATCTGGTCTTATGAATAGATTTATAAAATTGCGGATTCTATCCCAGATATTTCACTTTTTTAGAGAAATGTAATTTTTCTGGTGGTGTTCCATATATTCAACCAATTCATTGTTGTTGGTGCAGCCCCACACAACAAGTTTCTGGACTTTCGTTGGTGCTATGGTGAGGATAGGAAAGTAGACGGATGCAATTACGACTTCCTACACTCCGCCTAATATTGACACACCGATGATCTGAGCTGCGTCTTTTTGTTGACGCAAAAACATTGATATCATGCGTCAAAAAGAGCGATAGCGATCCGAAAATTGTCGCTAACTGGTTACAGAATCTTCCCCCCCTGAAAACGAAAGGAGTCGATATTTTTCCAACTCCCAGTTTTAGTTTTTTAATCTCCCTTCAGAACGTGCAACAAAACGAATTAAATGCAATCGTGTTAATTTTTAAACGCTTCTATTAAAATATCTACTGTGTGATGTGAAGTGACTGGCACCAGTTCGACTGCTATGGCCCATTGAATGAATCAAGTCAACTAAAAATAGTTCTTTCTATTAACCCAACCGTAAGTAATCTTTTTACAGCATACGAATGAACGTCTTTACACCGCCTGTAGAGTTAAATGTCGGTATGTAATTGGCGCATTGTTGATTCACACAGGCGATGTTCGGGACATACAATTGATGTGGCGGACGCGCATGTTTACTTAATTTATACTACTGTGGCAGCCATTAAACGGCAGTGTGAAGGCACAATGCGAGTACATATATATATGTACATACATATGTACATAGTGATAGAATCATTCATATGTAAAACAGACAGAAATTTATGTGAATTAAATAGACAGGCAATAGTGGGCTCGTCCCGACAAGTAATGCCTTTTAGATGTACGTACATACGTATGGATGTGTGAAGGCATATTGCAGCTACTATATAATTTAAGGGGCTCGGTCTAGCGCTACACTCTACGTTTATTGAAGCAAGTAGGCTTGTATTTATTAGGTATGCATAAGAAAGTGACACTTGTTGGGTTTACAGATAGCGTCATAGTAATTTAATTTGCTCTTTACGTAATAGCTGCCTAGTAGCCCTTGAGTCTCTTAAGGGTCGCTATGTATGTAGTATGCATTGCGTGCTTGTCATTCATCACGTGATGTACTGGATATTAGCTTATAGCTACAGAGTTCGCCCACCATCTTTTATTCCTAATGTGCTACAAGGGTCGTTGGGCAAGTGCTTTAGATAAAAGTGAACGCACTACTATTTAAATATTGAAAGGAAAACTTAGCTATTTTTTACCTATCGAGCTTATAGACAAGGACTTGGTAGCTTTACAAGAAGTTATCAAGGATGGTGTCCACTTTGAGGAAACGGGTTGACCTATTTTCTAGGGTTCCCACTCTAGGGGCGCAACTGTTTTACATAGAGCAAGTGAATTGATCGTAATCGAGACGTTGAATCTTTCTTCAAGATGACTCTCAGTCATAGTAAGTAAACGACTTTAGATAAGGGAAGATGAAACTAAGGCTGGTTACTATGTGAGAGCTTCTCGTGTCGCAAAGCAACCACTCGTTCGATTGAATTGTAAGCAAAGAGAAAGCCTCGTGCAGAGTTGCAATAGACATCTATTCGTTGCGTTGAAGTGACCTTTCTGCCATGTTGAACTGCGCTGACAGGATATTTTTCTAGAAGCGAATTCGCGAAGTTTTGATCGCCGTGGGATCTCGAACCTGGTAATTCGAGAGCGATGCTTCGTTCCGAACAGGCGAATCCCATATAAATTCAAGGGGGAATCTATTATATCTCAACCGATTCATTGTGGTTGGTGCTGCCCCACAGCAGTTGTTGGATCGACGGTTTGTGAATCGACAATATTCGACAAGTCTCTGTACTTCCATTGGTGGTGTAGTAAGGACGGATGCACACCGATGGCCTGACCTGCAACATTCCTGGAAAGAAAAGGAGTGCGTAAAAAAAATTCTCTACGCACAGGAAGTCAGCTCAATAAGTCATATATTAACCGACCTGACTGGCTCAGATCTTTTACTTGACTTGCATGGCACCAGAGTTCTTCGAGTAGGTCAATAGTGATTCTCTGCACGCTACCTTATCTGCATAACATGGCCAATGGCCCTTTATCATGATGCAGATTAGCCTGTAGCCTCTTATGACGCTTATTGCTTCCTTTGAATTCACCCTTGGACGGACGATAACCCTCGTTTTGTTCCATCGTGAACCCTTTTTTCTGGCTCTTCTCACTTGAGCTGATCGGTGAATAGCCTGAGAGCTACGTTTACCCTTTTTGGTAGTGCGTTTGGTTCGGTAGTGCCAGCTACCACCCTGCCCAGCGGCTAATCTTGTAGAAGAGCGTGATTCCAAGTCGGCTTCTGTTGAGGTTTCAGACGGCTCTAGAGCTTCCACATTTGCAACAAGTGTATCTGGCGCAACAATTCTCGGCTGCTTACTGGTTTTTTAATCGATGCGTGATCTTTAAGTAAAGTCATGTGGTCCAGCTAACCACTTTCCAGCGTGTTTGGGAAATATTTCAGTTAAAGTTTTATTGGTGTTGGATTAGATCAGACACCAAACTTGGTTCCTACCGAGTGATAGTACGTAGAAGGACTCACAACTTTAAGTTACAACATTTTTTCGTATAGGTAAGATAATTCTCTGAACGGGCTCAATGGAATTCATGTAAAAAGCTTGTTGCTATGCTTTCACATTCAGCTAGTATCCAATAAAAAACTCGTTGAATTAGAACAGAACTATCAAGTTGCCCTCGTATATGAAAATATACGCTGTACATAAATACCCCAATATGCGGCTTCCGCTATGACGTTACTAATTTCCTTGAATAAAAGTTCGGTTCATTATTCCTTTCGGTGTTTTTTATTTTTTGTGGCATTTTACTTTTTTCTTTTTATTTCTCATTATACTCATTACTCATAGACTAATTATTTTTCACCACATTTCACTTTCTTTGCAGTAATCATCTCGATGTGTTGGGTCGCTGGCACAATTGTGGGTTTTCTACCGTTGTTTGGTTGGCATGTGAAGCCCGAAAACCAAGCGGATATGAGCTGTCATTTTGTCAAAGTAATGGATTACAATTATTTGGTGTTTCTGTACTTTGCAACCATAATAACGCCGGCGTTGCTAATGTTGGCTTTCTATACGCACATCTATCGCGTCATCGTCAAACAGGTGGGTGGTTACTTTAAATATTAAAAGTTAATTTAGTTAATTACTTTAAATTTAAAAATCTTCAAAAGTCGCAACTCATAAGTATGTTTCATACAAAATTTTAAAATTTAGTAAAAGAGCGAGTTTCGAGATTTTCGAAATTTATAGCACTGCAGCTAATTTAACAACAATACATTGATTTACCTCTACAGGTACGCCAAATAGTCACAATGAATCCGACGAGTAATAGTAGCCGCCGTTCTTCCAACACACAAGTCCAAATAACACCTGGTCGCCCACATGGCGGCACTATGCTACGCGTCTTAGGCGCTTCACGCAAGCGCGATGTGAAAGCTACCCAGAATCTCTCCATTATTGTGTTGTTCTTCATGATCTGTTGGTTTCCGCTGTACACCATCAACTGTATCAAGGCGTTCTGCCCTGACTGCCAGGTGCCTGGGAAGCTGACACTTTTCTGCATTATACTCTCTCACCTCAATTCGGCCGGCAACCCTGTGCTGTATGCATATCATTTAAAGGATTTCAGACTGGCTTTGAAAAATTTGCTTTTGAAGATAATTGGCATTGAGGTTGAACCGGTAGTGGATCCAATGCATCGCTTCTCGCTGGCAAGTCAACACCGCCTACAATCGATAGAGGCGAGTTTGCGCAACTCGCTGCAACCACGCATTTATATAGGTAGGTAACTAGAATGGTAGAGAATATTATTTGGAAATTGTAGACAAAAATAAAAAATAAATCATTTCATTTAATATATTCTTCAGATTCTCCCATTTGGTTACGCCAGCAACAGCAATCACTCAAAAACTCGCAATCGACGCCAAAATGCGGCGTTATTACACCTTGCCTAAACAACATTAACCAGACGGTGACCGCTGTGGCTTCTGTGCCCGCTGATATTGGCCGCGATATGTGGAATATAGTGGAGGCCTCAAGTGGCGCCGAGCTGGAAGGTATCAACTACGAATATCCGATTGGAAGAAGCGCGAATACGCCGCCTACGCCCGCGTCCCAACAGCAGCGTCGCGGCTCTTCTTTCGGCAATGCCTACAGTCCTTCCTACTCCTACAACAACTGCAACTACTACATCAGTCCCGACGAATCCGAATTGGATGAAGTCTTCCTACCAACAATCTCGAACAGCAGTGGTAGCAATAGTGTTGATAGCGTTAGACCAAACGGCCGGTTGGGGCATGCCCGAACAAGTGAAGAAATCGCGCACATCATGCGTGAAAAATTGCGCTCCGATGACACGGAATACCAGACGCAGATGCGGTGTAACCAGCGCGCACTCACCGACTCTTCATACAGTGATTGTGATATGCAAAAGAAAAGCGCTGGTCATACACCGCCAGCCAAGGGCCGATTGTTGAAGACGGCACATCAACGCCGGCTATCCCAACTGGATGCTGTTGAGCAAGCACGCGGCGGTTGTAGCACTGGTGATACAGATGGTGGCGGCTTCGGCGCTGGTATCGGTTCCTGTTCACGATCTACTTCCAGCTTATCAGGACTCAGTAATGCGGGAGTTTATGTCGTTGAGAAGGACACGAGTCCGTTGTCGCCACCACGAAAACGTAAATTCAAGAAAGCGCAACGCCTGCCTATGAACAGCAGCAAGGCGGCTGAATCAAGCAATAATAAGACGGCATCTGGAGTGAATAAAAACAGTCGATCATATTCCTGCACCAGCGAGTCCATGTCCACGCCCACCAAAGAGGTGGCGAATGGCACAAAAGTGACGCAAACGCCGCCGGCAAACACACATTCCAACAGCGCCAGCAATGGCAAAAATGCGCCCAAAGCGCCTACCCACAATAACAGTAACAACGGTAGCAATAATCATAACAATTACAATTTTAATTGTCACACGACAGAGCGGCTGCCGCATACGATCCATTGTCATGGTCACGACAAGTTCAGTCGGTTGCGCGCTGTCAGTCACCTCATTTTTCCGCCCATCGTGAAGCATTCCAGCCTCTTTCATTTATTCCAACCGAGCGCGACCAGTGCGGAAAATGTAACAGCGCACAATGCGAGTACAGTCGACACAGTTGCAACAACTACCGCCGAATCGAGTGCTTGTGCTACAACAACGGCAACAATAGCGAGCCCGGATTCAGTTGCTTCCAGCGGAACGAGTAAAGCGCCTACTACTACTACTACTACGAGCGTGTCCAGCGAGCAAAGGCCTCAAGCGACTGTCGCGTCACGCATCGCTTCCGTGGATGAGTCAATTAAGACGACAGCTACCGATTTAATAGATCCAGCACCGACGCCGCAGTCCAGAGCGCAGCCACCGCCCCCAACAATAGATGCACGTTTTTGAGTTAAGCGCTGAGAGGAGGAGGACTGAATGTAGGTACTGACAGGCATTTGTTTCCATATTTTTTTCTAATTTAGTTATACGATTTTATCGATAAGGGATTATTAATTTAAATTACTATATACATACATAACTATTAGATGAATACGTGCCGTAAGAGTGTACGTACAAACGGGCATATGTTTGTACGTTTAGTTTTACTGTTATTTTATAGTTGTAAACGAATACTCATTCTAAGTGTACCGGTATGTAGTTAATGTAGTTTTTAATTATTTACCTTCAAGTGCGTGTGTGTTTGTGCATACATATACACTACATGCATATTTATTAGTAATGTATGCACATACATACATACATACATATGTAATATCAATGTAAGGATTCATGCATTTGGTGCGAGTTTACTAAGAATTTGCATACAGCAATTGATTGAATAAAAAAAAAAATATGGCTTTCAAATGGCGTTGAAATGTAAATGATGTCTGCGTGTGCTAATAATTTTTTAATGTTAAAATTAAGAAAAATACTTATATTACCACCCAGTGTATGAATTGAATGTAACACAGGAAAAATCAAGCAGGAAAAATTTTAGGCAAGAAAAACCGGCAAAGCTTGGTATTTGATAATGTTAATGTTTTAAATCCCATAGCTGTCAATTGTAAAAATAAAAAGAACTTTTTTCGAAATATAAAATTTATGATTTTTTATGCATATGTAATTTTATATCGAGGTTTATCATATAAAAAAATATATTCAATGCAGATTTTAATTTATCCAACCCATATTCAGCCGCCGGTCAATTTTTCGACCATCAATTTTGAAAGTCGATATCTCTGGAGTTAAGTTTTATTTTTTGAGCTGTTTTCACAAAAATTTTAATTCAATGAACAAACAGGAAAAAAACTGGTTTTATTTCAATTGTATACGATTACAAAAAACCAAGTAAAATGCACCTCACTCGAGACTTCCTGATCTGACGAAGCGATGGATAACCAGCTGTCTGTATGGACGCCAATCATCGGTCGAATTCCGAAACGTCAAGTCGAAGTCACAAGGAAAAACTCCCTCCCCCGCCAGCTGGAGGTGACTTGCTGATGATTACACGAGTATGGCAACGGGCCCTAACATCGACAGCCTTTGTGGGAAAATCACTGACTATCACGGATCTTGCAAATTTATTCACTGCCTTGAGCTTCACCATTTCCGCCGCGAAATCCAGCGCCACACGTTTATCACCTGGACTAAGGAGGTCAGGCTGTAACTAGACGTCCACGTTGATGGCAACAGAATACCGACGGTCAACCTTCCCAAATTCTTGGAACTCACGTTCGTTGGCAAACTACGGCAATCATCAGCTATACACAGTGGAGCAATTTACAAACCTGCCAGAATACAGCTCAACGCACGGTTACAGATTGCCATCTCATGTCATCCGAACATCACCTCCACCAAGAAAGCCAGATGCTGAAGGTGAAGGAGCATAACACCTCTTCGTACCATCGTGGAAATAACCCCAACAACGACCTGCTTCGAAACGATCCGAAACGACAATATCGTCCCAGGCACATCGCCGCCCAGTAATATCGACGGAGCGCAACTGTCGAGAGGGATCAGGTTCATCCCAGCTCAACTCCGTTATGGGTGGTATCACAGACTAAATTGCTATCTCTCTCGGCTGAACCCAGAAGTGGCAGAAACCTTCCCAGACTGCGGGTAAGGTTCACAGAACACCCAACACCTCTTCGTATGCAGCTCTAACCCGACGACTCTGACACCAGAAGCACTATGGACGAAGCCTATCGACGCTGCCTGCTTTCTTGGCCTCAAGATTGTAGAGTCAGGGGATGAAGACGACCCATGGCAAGCAGTTTCTTGTTGGGAGCCACAGCCGTAGACACCCAAGGGGACAACTGCTTGGAGAACAGCCCTCGCCCAAGCACGTCAGGAGGCATCTCTACGAACTGACGGACGAGGTCCAGAGGTTCATCAAACAACCTCTGGACCCATCAGCTTATCGACAGGCCTTGAGCGGCATTCACAGGGAGTCAGTCTCGAGTTATGTAGACTCCAGACCTGTGAATGCCGTTATAGGAGACAAGAACCACAATAGCCCAACTTCGCTCTGGCTACTGCAGCAGGTTAAACTCATACCTGAGCAGACCAAACGCAGATGTGCCAAATGAGTGTTCGGCATGCGGAGAGAAACCTCATGACTCGAAAAATCTCTTCGTATGCCCGGAAAACCTGACAACCCTAATTCCTTTGTCCCTTCTTGAGTACTGCTGCCACAACAACAATAACAACACACTACGCCCTATTCTCGCAAGTGCGATTTGCTACATTGGGCTGTATTTATGAATTATGCTACATTTTTAATTTTGTGGATTCAGTAATAGCATTTCCACGGATTTCAGAAAAAATCTATGAACGAGGAACTCAGAAATTGCTCATAAAATCACTTGTAACTTGTGTGAACATGCCATAAGAGAACATGTAAAACATATCATGATTTGCGACTCGGAAATGACTGCATCCCATTTATATTTTAAAGTTTTGGTACGAAAAACATCTCGGCAAGACTTCCATTTGTCATCTTTGCTGATTATCAAAAACAGAAATTTTCGTAAAGTACGTATAACAGTTTCATTTTATTACACAACTAAACACTATTGTGAATGGTTGGAGAATTTGACAGTTGCGCCGGCGACGACTACTTTGCGCGGTCAAAACAAATCCAATTTCACGTGTGGCAGAACGAGGTGCACGCCGATTTAAAATATTTTGTGTTTTATGAATTAAATAGAGCAAAACAAGTAAAGCATTAGCAGAAATAATTAAAAAATGTCTTCCTCATTCTTTCTTAAAAAGGAACCTAAGGCGAATAAAAAACGAAAGGTAAGCAAATACACATACGATGAATACTCCAAAAGTATCCGATATTTTCATCCTATGGTCCGCGATTATAGCTTTTAAAAGATCCACGAGCAACTGGTGCCAAAAAAAGAAGTGATAAGAAACAGCCAACAAGCAACGCACCACCAGCACGTAAACGACCGCAGAAGGACGATGAAGAAATCGCCAGCGATGATGAGTTCGGAAGCGGCGAAGGAGATGCCACAAATTTGGTTTTCTCATCAGATGAGGTGGAAGAGGAGACACCACAAGACAAACGACTGCGTTTAGCGAAACAATACTTAGAAGAAATTGAAAAACAAGAAGCGGAGCGTGTGGAAGATCGTGAATTACATGACCACGTAGCACAGCGCCTACAGTCAGAGTACCTTGATAGCGTGGGGAAATTGCGGCGGAATATAGCCGGCACTATTGAAGATTATGATGCAGAGAATGTGGTTGTGCTTAAACATAAAAAGCAACATCTACCAATGTGCGCGTTTGCCGTCTCACCTGATGGTAAATATCTATTTAGTGGCGCTAAAACACAATTCGTGCTGAAATGGAGCGTACAAGGTCAAGTGAAACTGGAAGGGTTATTTAACGTACAACCACACAACGAAGATGAGAAAAGCGATACGCGGCGTCGGTCACACGTTACGGCAATATGTTTATCGACTGACATGAAATACTTAGCACTGGCCGAAGGTGGTCGAAGCATACAGATTTGGTGCCCCAAGGATCTAACACACTTAAAAACGTTCAAGGGACACAGAGATGTGGTTACCTCGCTCGTCTTCCGAAAGGATACACATGACTTGTATTCGGGCTCAAAGGATAGATCAGTGAAAATTTGGTCGCTCGACGAAATGGCCTATGTGGAGAGCCTGTGAGAAAATACATTGCAATTTAAATGTTGTATACTTGAAACGAGTTTCTATTACAGATTTGGTCATCAGGCGCCCATTACAAGCATAGATGCGCTGAGTCGTGAACGTGCAATTACCTCAGGAGGCATCGATTGCTCATTACGTATATGGAAAATTACTGAGGAATCACAACTGATCTACAACGCGCACCAAAATGGCATTGAGTGTGTTAAATTTATAAACGATGAAAATTTCGTTTCCGGAGGCGAAGATGGGTAAGAAGTAGACATATAGAGTTTTTTATTTATCATTTTATTAATTATCTTTACATTTTATTCAGTTCACTCTGTCTATGGAGCGCATTAAAAAAGAAACCGCTCTGCACAGAAGCGTTGGCGCACGGTACCCAGAGCAATGGAGTGCCCAACTGGATAACAGCAGTAGCTTGTGTGGTGAATACAGACTTATTAGCATCAGGTAATAACGAGCTGGCAACAAAAAGAAATTTATTACTTAAGAGGTGTTGGTATATTTTTAGGTTCCTTTGATGGTTACATTCGTCTGTGGCAGTCCCTTGACAATTCACGTAAACTTAAACAAATTTTAAAAATTCCTGTGCCAGGTTTCATAAACGCCTTAGCGTTTAATAGTAATGGCACGAAATTATTCGCAGCCGTTGGTCAAGAACACAAATTAGGCCGTTGGTGGCGAATCAAGGAGGCGAAAAACAAGATTATCATCCTTGATTTTATTACAACTTCTATAAAGGCTAGCTTAATTTGAAGAAGTAACTAAACACACTCGTAAATTCACGCTTTTAATTGAATGGCTGATTTATTTTTAAACTAAGCGCATGCGTTGTTCCGCAATGCTCGTGTTAAATATTAAATGTTAAATCTAAGTTAAAGATATGAAGAGTTTTACAAATAAACAGTTTTGTAAAAATATGCCAAATGAATATCTTTGGAATGCATTGCTGAATCTCGATAAACTAGAATGAAAGGAAATTGATTAATTATTATCGCCTACTACGTCGGCTATGGTGGCCACAAGACGTCGGGAATGCTCCACAGCACAAGTTGCCGTAACTAAACCCAAGTGAATACA